GTTCATGTAGGAGTGACAGGGAACAATTAAGATGATTTTACAGCAGCATTTTGCATTGCTTGATGTGGACTGAGACAAAAGCAACAACAAAAATGACACCAGTCAAAGTGAGAGGCAATAAGAGCTGAGAAGGCTGTTAATAGGTTAAAAAGATTTGCAGTAATGCAATAAGAAAAAGCAAGGTGACTTTATGTCTAGTGATTGAAAAATAAAATTAAATTATGTTGATGAGGAGGAAAAAAGTGCCTGCAGACCTATTCACCTAAATAAAATGTGTACAGTACAGAAGTAAAAACCAGCTTTTCTTCATCCTGAGCAGACCTTGATTAACAGCACAGACAACAGAGTGGAAGGAAGGTCTGGATTTTACAATTCATAATGATAAAATTTCCCATAGCATGTCCTCACTGGCCTTCCCAAGGTGGGGAACTGGCAGCGAGGCCATCTTTCTCCCCTGGGGGAGATGGACAACAAACAAGTTGTCACTGCATTTCTTCCTACTTTGTGAAGCTAGCAAAAAGCCACTGAGTTTCTCGGTCATGCTGGCACTTGTTCTGACCATTGGTGAATGGAGAAAAAAGAATAGGTAGGACAGAAGGAAGTTCCATCCGAACATAAGGAAAAACTTTTGTACTGTGAAGGTGACTAAGCAGTGGCACAGGCTGCCCAGAGAGGTTGCGCAGTCTCCATCCCTGGAGATACTGAAAAGCTGTCTGGACATGGTTGTGAGCAGCCTGCTGTAGATGGCCCAGCTTGAGCAGGAGGGGCTAGGCCAGATGACCTCCAGAAGTCCCTTCTAACCTCAGCCACTCTGTGATTCTGTGGAGAAAGTTCATGAGTGTATGGAGATTTTTTATTTTTGTGCCAGCTTTTCTAACATCTCATTTTGAGTTTGGACAAGTCATTTCATCCCTTAATGCTTCCCGTTCTTCATCTGTAAAGGGGGGTTAATTATACCTACTTCACAGGAAGAAACACTTCATTAGGAGTGCAATCCACCCACATGCAGAAAACCTATGCACTGTTTAAACCCCCTAAATGGAACGTAAGCAATGTCCAGACCTTATGGCTAGTCCAAGGAGCTGGGATAAAAGTCACTCTCCATTTGCAAACCCCCTGGGATCCTGAAATCAGAAGAAGTATTAACAGTGCGAAACATTCTCCCTGTTCTTTGTGTGGCCTGGGGAATGCCACAGCTATCAACACTTTTATGATTCCAAGACATTAATATTTGTCTGTTGTCATAATCCTTATGCTTGGGTTGTTATTTTGTGTGGCAAAAATCTGAACATGCTTCCCCACTGCAGCTAATTAGTAATATGCACATGGGAGATGTTACAGCTCGTAAGCTAGTCTTTGCTGTGACAGAGTTGACAGTGACGGCAATGCAGTCTGTTCCAAAAAGGGGAAGAGGAACAGTGTTATCTGGAATTGATTTTTGTCTTCATTAAAGTCTGTGCTTATTCATTATTTTCCCCTAAGCATACCTACTGCCCAGATTTATTTGAAAGTTTAAAATTAACTTTTTACTGGTTCAGTTTCACTGCAGGGGGTTTTATGTATTTTAATGTACTCACTATTCAGTTTGAAGCCTTTGTGAAAGCAAACTCTACATCCATCTTCTGATGTTGTCAGGGTAAACAGCATACAAGGAGTTTAGTGTTTACTTCTGGATGCCAAAGGGTTACATATTCTAAAAGATGTGGGATATCAGTATTCAGAATATTTGGGTTACAGCAGATTATGAGGACAGTTAAATCAGAAAATTGTAGAAATAGTAGTCAATATCTAGTGAGCTGTTTTGGTAATTCAGTGGAAAGGGAGAGTGAAGGTGTGATAAAGGGTTTTTTGTGATGATGATGCCATTATGCTGCTAATAATCTGCTCTAGCCTTCCAGTTCAGTCCCATCTCTTTTCTCTTTCCTTCTAAACTATCAAAAACACATTCCCATTCAGATCTTTCTTTAAGAATAAGGTAGTCAGACTTCAAACTTAAAGATCTATTCCTAAGACTTTAAGAGAACTACAGGAGAGTCAGACGGTTTCATAGAAAACACCTTTTTTTATTCCAGCTACTGGACTGTGCCTTCATTTTCCAGCTTCTGGGAGGACAAACCACAAATCAAAATCCATATGGACATTTATGAAATGTCCCATGTGCCAAACAGTGAATCGAATGTATTTTGACTTTTGTAGGTCGTGGAAGTTAAGATTTGCATTGTATGTAGTTTGGTATCTGTTACAAAATGTCGCACACATTTAGCCAGAGAAGAATATTTTAGTGGTCCATTCACATGCTCTTTATGCCCAGCCAACCACGTCCATTTTATCACTTTGCTCTGGTATGTCCATTAGTGATCACATTTGGAAACAAGATAATAAACCTGATATGCCTGTCGTGATTGATAAAGCCACATTGAGCATTCCCATCCACAGAGCAACAAAGTGATTGCCTAACTTACTCAGTCAAAACATTATTTCAACAGATGTCTAATAAACACTTCTATACCCAGTGCCCCTCTCTGTATGGTGGTAGCTACACAGAGAAGTTCTCCTCCTCCCAGCCTACTAGATCCATCACAATTCTCGTATCTTGCAATATGCCATGTACCGTATTCTGAAAATTTATAGATCCTTCTGTCCTCGGTACTTCCCCCTAGAAGTCAAGACAGGTTGGCTCTACTGCCAGCTTAATCCACTTTCCAGTTCCTAAAAGGATTAATCCTGGTATCTGCAGGCAAAAATAATGTTTCCCTTAAAATCTGAGTTTCAGGTCTTGGAATATTTGACCACTGATGTCCAGAGCCTCAACATTACAAATTACACAGCTGTAATGATGACTCAGCTGCAGGTCATAGCTGTGGAGCATAGGTATGTGTCACCTATGCTTGATGACTTCACAGAGAAGCATGCATCTTCCTCCTCATCTCTTTCCTTGTTTTTGTTGTCCAGTTTTATATGCACCTAAAGTCTTCTGGCTAATTTTTATCCTGTCTCTAACTCTATTGACAAAGATTTTCTTGTCACCTGCATATTCAAAACTGACTCAAAATACACTATCTACTTGCAAAATTTTTTTTCCATGCACCATGAGGCCTTGGATAAATGATCAAAAAACCCATCATTCATTCTAATTATTCCAGTATAGCTATCTGTGGAACATAACTAAGAAAATGAGAAACTGCTGCCCTCTGAAGATTCACAAAGTACTAACTGAAGCAATACCCTATCATACCTGAGTATTACTAGTGGCATCCAGCCACATGATAAAATTTTTAAAAAGAAAAAAAAAAGAAATCCAAGTCATGTAACAATTAGCAGAAGGAATGATATATTTCATGTACATGTATTAATTACAAATATTAGCCTCCAAGACTTCAGAACTAATTGCTAGAAGCAGTAAGAAAAGTTGATAGGGATATAACAGCTGTGCAGACTTCCTTTCCTTCTCACCAGGATTAGCTGAGCTGAACATAGCATGGTACCTGACACCACAGTACAGGATGAGTGCTAGCACTAGAAAATCACTTCTTATGTAGAGAAGCTTGACAAAGCACATGATAGAATGTGTGGTACAAGTACAAATTTGGGGGATTCAGGGACTGAAAGCAAGCTTTAGAGCTTTTGATCTAGGAATAGGTATGTAGGCATAGGTAACATGGCTGATTAAAACTGGCACAGAGTTAATACATTCTTTTCTTTCCAAATCCAAGTTTCTGTCCACAGCTCCTACCTCTGGATGTTGAGAGATTACACATTTCTGTAACCATTCTTTACAACAGTTTTGAGAAGAGATTTTTTTCTGTTTCAGAGAAAAAAAGCCATAGTGAAGAGCCTAAGACACATATTTTGGGAAAGGACTACCACTAGGAGAGAGCAAAAAAAAAGAAAGAGAGGAAAGAAGGAGATGTCAAAGAATATGAGCAGAA